CTCTCTCTCTTTCTTTCGAGTCAGAGTCTCACTCTGTTGCCCAGGCTGGAGTACGGTGACACGCTCACAGCAGCCTTGACCAGCTGGACTCAGGAGATCCTTCTGCCTAAGCATCCTGAGTCCCTGGGACTACAGGTGTGTGCCACCATGCCCGACTAATTTTTTTACTTATTGCCAAGATGAGGCCTCGCCATGTTGCTCAGGCTGGTCTCAAATGCCTGGGCTCAGACAATCCTCTTTCTCAGCCTCCCAACATGTTGGGATTATAGGCATGAACCACCATATGAAAAAACAATGAAAAACAATGAGTATTCTGAACATGCTTGTAGATCCCTATGGTCTATAGGATGAAGAAAGTAGACTTTGAAGAATTTGTAAAATCTAGCCCTTCCAGCCCTGCCAATTAACTTCTTCCCCTAAAATGCCCTAAGAGCAAGGAGCTTCCTGCATTCAGTTTTTTCTTGAATTTAGAATAGTATCTAACACAGAAATGTCTAAACATAATGCTAACTTTCAAGAAACAATCTATTCTGTTTCCCCAAAATTGGTGATATTTTTCAAGTCAGAACTTCTAAAGGTGTACTTATGGCAATTGAAGAAGTAGGACTAAGTGATCATACAATTTTTTCATCCAGAATTTCTTGGGAGACTAGCCCCCACTTGAGTCCAATCAGATCCAACAAACAATAGAAAAATACATAAACAAATATTATAATTAATGTCTCGAGTGATTCAGGATTTGGCAAAAGACATTTGAGCTTCTACTTCCTGTTTTTCAAAATGAGTTACTCAGAGAATGATAGCTAAGATTACTCTCAGTTCATTTTAAACAAAGTTACTCCGGAATTGAAAGAGAAAAGAACTAGGTTATTCTGTATAGAAATTCCTGCTGGGAATGCAGTGGGGTGTGGGAGTCTCTGGTATAAGGAAGGAGGCAAATTTTGTCTGCAGAAGGCTCATTGCAAATGTTTGTGACAGAGGCAGGAATCTAGAGAATGATACTTCTGTTGTGATGGTGTATGGCGTGAGTCACTTAACAACAGTGATACACTCCGAGAAATGCGTCCAGAGGGGACTTCATAATTGCGCGAACATCCCAGAATGCACTCATACATACTTAGACGGTCCAGTCTACTACACGCCTAAGCTATGTGGTTTAGTCTACTGCTCTTAGGCTGCAACTTGTATGGTATGGCACTGCACTCAGTGCTATAAGCAACTGTCACACAATGCTAAATATTTGTGCATCAAAACATAGAAAAGGTAACGTGTTACCCCATGGCATCAGGACTGCCAGATGTCACTAGGGGGCAGGAATATTTCAACTCCTTTATAAACTTACGAAAGCACTGTGTATATGAGCATATGAGGTCCTCTCTTCTTGGACTGCGATGAGTTACATTTAAAGAGAACTAGGTTAATCTGGGGAAAACAACATAATAAAAGTAGATTTCCTGATTTTAGAACAGCACATTTAATATACCTGAATGCCTTCCTTTACTTTTCAACTAAGACCACCTTGACTTAAGGTTGTCCATTCTGAGACATTTAAGGTCTTGTTTGTTGAGATTAAAATGCACCACATCTTTAAAATAAATAAAGCAAAACAAAAATGTGCCTTAAACAAGTGAAGATTTTCCTGAGTTAATTCTTAAGCAAAATGGCAAAAATGAGCACTTTATCTCTCACCACATGGAGGACAAGATCACAAATAGATCATTGTTGCTCTTGCAAGATGGTAACACACACTGATTTTTTTTCTAAGAAAATGATGACTGCAGTCTCCTGGCTTTGTACTCAGTGTGATCCTAACCTCTACGTAAGGCAACTCAGAGGCACAGACTTCAGTGATTCTCCAGCAGCATGGGACTTGTTGGTTCTTCTTGTTTAAAGAAAAGCTTAGGGTCAGGATTTATTCTGCTTCCCGTGGGGTCTTCCCTATACCCACTGGCTCTTGAGTAGATACAACTTTACAGTTAAAGTGACTTTTTAAAAATCTAAGCTACTATGGATATTTAGTAATAATTATTCCCAAATACATGCCAAGCTTTCATCAGATGTGGAAAGCTGTTTCCCTCTCTCACGGTGACTAGGATTCTGCCTCATGAAGTCATGATGATGGACAAAGTTACCAAACCTTCTACAAGAATCCTTCCACAGGCATGAGCACTTGCAAAATCATTACAAAAATCGATACTTCTGCAAAGAAAACTGCCTCTTATGGGGTGGACAATTGACATTATAAAACATTCAAAATGATAATTCACTATATATTCACTGAGTCTCTCCAGTAGGCTCATAAATAAGGCAAGTGAATCATTTTCCCCAAGCTTGATGTGCAGGGATTAGCAGCCTGGCCAAAGTTGCCTCAGTCCAGTGACTGAGCCTCTGGATCCTCTCTTCCTACCTTGTGGGTCCTTTCAACTGTTTCACTTGCCCTAAGCAAAGATAATATACAGATTCCTTGAAGGACTTTCATTGCTCAAAGGCACTATATCTGAAATTCATCATGATTTTGAAGTCATAAAAATAAAAACTGTTCCAGTTTGAAAAGCTGTTTGATAGGTGAACCAATGCTTATGTTAACCGACTTGAGCATTTGAGCATTTTTACATCTTTAAGTCTTTTTTCTTTTAATATTACTTGAAGGTGGTGCCTATTAAATGGGTAATCTTTTACAATATCTAATTGAATTCTAATTTATTGAGTCAAAGGGTTCAGCCTCAAATCATGGTCTATGCTGTATATGATTTATGTATTTTAAAGGGATGTTAAAAATGAGATGTGTGCATTCATTTATAAATTCTACATCAAAAATATTAAACATGAGCTATTAATCTTCATGCTGGTGTTTTAGGGGGAAAATAAGTGATGTGCCAAATTTGCCTTGAAATGCATCCAGAAACATGATATGGATGACTGGAAAGATAACAGAGAGAGAGAGAGAGAGAGAGAGAGAGAGAGATTTGTGATAAAGGAATTCCTGCAAGATTCATGGTCAACCTAGGTGGTGGACATTCAGTTGCTAAGTTACTCAGATAATATAGAATTATTTGAAATTTGTCATATGTGTGAATATTTTCATGATCAATTGTCAAAGAAAAATATGATTTCTTATTTGATGTATTTTCTAGGGTTAGCTGAAAGGGAAAGAGTCATTAGCTATTTCTGTGAGAAGGTTATTTTCATTGCAATGAGATCACAGTGCAGATAAGGATGAAGTTCTATTCTATACAGACAAAGAAGTTCAGACCAATACAAATAATAAAATTTTCCATCTTGAATAAGTATATGTATTTTTAGTATCAAATTGCACATACCTTCACATGTGGGAGGAGAACCCTCAAACTGCAATTGGGAACTTAGCTTGCAGGTCAGAGTGTCAGTCCCCAGCAAGGTGTACCCAGGATGGCACTGGTACTTCACGAAGTCTCCTAGAATAGGTCATACAACAAACTAGGAAATTGTGTTTCTATGACATTTGGAGTGTGTACAGTGTTAAACATATACGACTACTCAACGAATCCCATTACTGGGCAAGCCCCATTAGGATGATGCTCTCTTAAGCTTAACCAATGTTCGTGCAGACATTATGTGGCAGGTTTTCTTCCTTGACTGATACATCTATGTTGGTTCCTCTTCCCCAAAGACTACCGAGAAAAAGATGCTTATGATTTAAGCAAGATTGTAGAATCCAAAGGCTTTAGTGCATCCAGAAAGGGCTCACCTATGACCCTGGCCTAGTTAACACAATGTTCCAATTAACTAAGCCATGCTGAGTGTAGCAGAAATTAGGTCACGTGGTTTGACCAGTGGTCTGAAACACAATGTGACAACAGGATGGGTTTTTAAATTGGTGCTGAGAAATCCAAGGTCACCATAATCATATTGGAAACAAATGCTGTGAATGCTCTCTTAATATGATCAGATAATTATTTAATGAATTAGATCATTAAAATAAAATCATAAAGCAAAATTTATGAAAATTATCACTAAATAACTCTGTATTACATTATAGTTTTGGTGAAAGATCAGTGTTATACTAATCATTCTTTTAGTAACAAATGATTAAGCTCTTTCTCAAGTGCATGAATGTGTCCCCCTAAGTAGACACAATTTCCAAGTCTGTCTCTAAAAAATGTATTTTGAAAAAAAACTAGTAAATGCTATAGAGGAAAAAAATGCGTGAAATGCTCGAAATGAAAAAGAACAATTCAAAACAAAAAAAGTGATGTCAAGAAAGAAAAATACTTTTTATTTGATTCATTGCCTCTGTATAAGCCGTCAGAATACATTCAGGTTTTTCTGACAAATTACCCATTTACTATTATTATTGCAGTGAGCGATGGGTCTAAAAAAATCACACTGCGTTCATGGTATTGTTAATGAAGAAAATATTACCTATTTCAAAATCCTCATCCTCAGTAAGCATTTCTGCTTGTGGAACTGCTGGGGGAGGTTGACATTTCTTGAGCTGAAATGCTAAATGATTGATAGAAAAAATAATAATAGTTTAAATTATTGCATTTACTGAGTAAACCCAAATATTACAAAAAATTACTCATAAAGTTGTTACAATGCTTAAGTACACTAAAATGTTTATACTTATAAATCTTTTTTATAAAATTAACAAGCTTCAAATGCTCATGTGATCATTTAATGACAAGGAATATTTGAAGTCCAAGAAAAAGTACACAATTTTAAAAAATGTGACATTTAAGTAAACACACTTTATATATGTTTGGAATTCAGCGGGAGAAATGATTCAATCATGCCCTGACTCCTTGCCCATATTTAGATTTGATAAGGTCTTGACTGTTTCTGGTCCTGAGATATTCCAGGGGTGGCAGTGTCCATGAGAGATAATGCTCTTATGATCTCCATTTTTCCACATTTTTATAGAGTTCATTGTCAAGACTATTAGAGGTTTGCTTTCACCTTTATTTAGAGTTGCATGTCATTTGCTCTCACACTGTATCTGGGGATTGAATGAATAAAACTATAGAAAGTGTCAAAGGTAAGTCAATGGTCTTCCTAGCAAAGTTTTACCTAAAATATATTTAGGTTAGAGTAAATCCAAGCCTGATATGATGTGAAATAATGAAGATATCATTAAATAAAATGGATCACAGGAAACTCTGGACTCCAGTGCAAGATAATTCTATATACTCTCTCGGTCAGCAGAAAAGTCAGCTGGACACAAGGTCAACACCACGGGAAACACCACGTAGAATTCTGTGTCTTCACCAATGGGGGAAAGTAGACTGACCGTGAAAATTGAGGACAAAGAAACCTCCATTTGAAAAGTCACTGTGGAACTTGAGCAGGACTTGGTTGGTGGAGCTATAGGCTGTCTCAAGGGCTGTGTTGCCACTGAACACACCCAGCTGAGGCGAATTCTGGTCAGGACCATCCCTAGGAAAAACAGAAAGAGCCCTTGGAGAGATACCTATTTATAAATGAGTGATGCTTATGAAAAACTTTACTAATAAATTAATATATTTTTAATAATATAAAAATAATCAAATATGACTATCTTCTAGCTATGTCATCCTCTGGCCTCATCCTCTGTTTTGCCTTTAAAAAAGCTGCTTCATTTGGTCGACTTAATCATTCTAGTTCTTTCTCTCCTCATTCTCATACCCATTGACTCAGGTCCTATCGTCTCAGTCCAACATGTGTTCCAGCCACAGAAGCAGCCTCCCTTCCTGCGCTGGCTACTTACTTCCCACAAAATCTGCTGGTGAGCCAGCATCAGGCTTGTAGCTCTCCTGCCCAAAACCCCAAGGATATTCTCACACTCTGAGAATAGAGCTGGGACCCTTCCCAGGACCCCTGAGCCCTGCGGCAATTGTTTTCACCTATGTCTCACCTCCTGCTCTATCTGCAGGCTCTGACGGGAGCTCAGACACCACACAAACAGACACACACATCACACAGACACACCTACAAGCCACAGACACAAACACCACACACAGACATACACAATTCACACACACACACCACACACAGAAACAAACACAAAACATAAACACTGTCCACACATAGACACACTCTACATAAAACACACACCACACACTGACCCAGACACCACACACACAAACACATCACACAAAGACACACACTCCACAGACAGATACACATACACTAAACAGACACACACACGACACACAGGCACAAACACCACACACACAAACACATCACACAAAGACACACACTCCACAGATAGACACACATACACTACACAAACGCACATACCACAAAGTACACACCACACATAGACATACTCCCCACACACACACCACACATACTTCACACAAATACATATACCACACACACATACAGACACACAAACATAGACACAGATACACTTATAGACTTCCACACATATAGACACACCACATATATGTAGACACACATACCACACACTCAACACACAGAGAGACACATGTACACATATACACATACCAAACACATGTCCACACAGACACAGACATACCACATATCATAAACACAGAAAAAGGATACATACATACACGTATACACCCACACTTATACACCCATAGGCACACTTGTCACCCACGAGCCCTCCTTCTTTTTTGCAGCCATGTATCCCAGGAACCTCTTCCTCTGGTGTCCAGGGCACACCTACCACCCACCCCAGCCTCACAGGAGACTTGCCAGCTTCTGATTTCCCTCATACCCACCTCGGAATGTAATATTTCCAAGAGTACCACATCATAGCAAAGGAGACTGGCAACTTTTCTTTCAAACACATACCACACACACACACACACACACACACACACACACACACACACACACACACACTCTTAAGAAATGTAAAATTAAATAATCTTGAGATAATCTCATGTATTAAAAATAATCTTGGGTATTTCTACCATGTGGCAAAACCCAAATGTACATGATGAAATATATTCTCTATACTTCTGGGTTGCATTGGTAAATTTTTTTTCCTGATATTCACCTAACAAGTTTATTCTAAATACATAATCTGACATACAAGTGGCCTATAAGTTCTAAATTGGAAGTGTTTCACGTGAAAGGTTCTCATACCAAACAGCAATGTAATCATTAACAGCCTCCGTCTGCAAAAGAGTGAAGTTGATGTAAACTCCGTGCCCCGGGGGCACCGTGACAAGCCAAACACAGTCCTTCAAAATCGGATATTCATCTGGAAACCCAGGGGAATAAATGGTGCCATTCTGAGATGTCACATTATATCCACAAGGAGCTGAAAGGAAGCGAAGACAAAATAAGCCCAATACAGTTGATTACAGAAAGTAGAAAGTCAAATATCTCTAAGTCTCCAAAGTACCATCAAAACCAAAATTTCCTCTTTAAGAGATAATTGTGAAATCTTTCTCAACGACTGTTTTGTCAAAATTATTCCCATAAAATCTGAAAACCTTGGAGGAATTATGCTTCAAAGCTAAATTGTCTGAGTTTTATTTAATATATTCTCCAAATCTTCAAAATCCCTTTAGGATAAATTCATTCCTGTAGGAGTAAAATAAAATTCTTAGTCATTTATCACCTGTGACCTGCTAATAACCCCTTGGACTGACCAGTGCAATTAATTACATGGACATTATTTATAAACGTCTTCCTGAATTTTTTATTTTAAGTCACATTTCTAGAGCCTATGTAAGCTAAGAGTGGCATCTAAATTGACTTGCCCTGAAACAAAGAACTTACTAATTCTTCACAAATCTATACCTGAAGAAGTGAGATAACATTACATACATAAGTGGTGTTTCATTGAAATGTTTCCAATTTATATTAGCGTTCAATAATGTGAAGAAGTCTTTTTCTATTCTACTTAATATATTGGTATTTATGGTTTCCATGGCAATTATTTTATTGATGGAAAAATGATATAACCCCATATAAATAGAATAATCTGAAATGCAGTCTTTCATTTAAATAGTGGCATAGTGCATCCCAGTCTTGGACGAGTACCTTTTGAAATCAAACCAAAAGCTAGCAGTTGTGAGATGAGCGTCTCTAACTAGCACAACCTTTCAGGACGTCAAAGACTTGCCACAAAGGGTGTAAAGAGACCAAAATACATTTTAAAAGATACACAAAGAATTAAAACAATTCTAAACACACCAGGCAGCAGTATATGGGACACCACTGAATTAGTTGCACCGAGGTGGAAAACACAGTCATGTAAAATAGATGGAACCTGGCCTGGGATATAGATGCCTTCATCAGAAAAAGGGCGAGTGGAAAACACTGTAGAAGTTTTATAGCTTAATTATTACTAAGTAGGACTTAAAGTCAGACTAACCTGAAGAACTATGGTATCCCTGAGAGCTCCATTTCTGTAGTTCTATGAGGTCAGGGAGGCCCTGATACATGGGACCTATGAAGTGGAACCCCACATCACACTGTCCTCACCACATGCTACCTGTGTCCTTTCCAGATGGTACCCTCTGCTCCTGTTAGACCTCATGGAAGTGTTCCCTTGCTTTCTCCTACCTGGCTGCTAGCTGACTTTGTCTCTTCCTTGAAAACAACTCAAACGTCACAGCCTTCTTCAGGTTTTTCCTGGACTCATCAGGCTCTAGAGACAGGGTCTGCTCAGGGGCCCTGTGGCTACAGAGAGATGGCCAGCCCTCAGTTCAGGGACTGTATCTCCTCGCAGCCCGGACATTATCTCCTGTTATTAGTCCCCACTGCCCAGCTCAGATCATGGCAAACACTAGACAATGCATAACTGATGAGCTGATGAGTGAGATTAGAAACAGAAAGCACTTTAACAGCAAACCCATTGAAACAATTAGCCTGACAGTTCTCATGGTTCAATGCTACTCATTTACTGTGGACTTGTAACTCTCAGATTTCCCTTTTGCATTTTTGCTGTTCAAATGGAAACTTGTAATGGTCTAATTATACTTCTTTTCCACTGGGAAAACAAAACAAAAAATTATAGTTTAAATTTTTTAAAAGAGAAAAGAAAAAAACATGATTTTCTTGAGAGGATACATACCTGGTTCTGGTATCTTTTATGTCACTTAATAGCTCTGTGACAATGAGCAAGTCAGTGATATCTGTCATGATTTGTCCATAAAATTCAAATAATTCAACAAGGTATCTATTGAGTATCTACTGGGAGTTGATTATGTGTCAGGAAGTATGCTCAGGGCTGAGGATACCTTAGTGAACAATGAAGACCCCATCATTGACTTTGTAAAGTTTACAGAATAGTGATGAGGAGAGATACAAACAAACACTATAAATAAGCATAAAATAGCCAGGCTCAGTGGCTCAGCCTGTAATCCCGCGCCTTTGGGAGGCTGAGGTGAGTGGATTGCCTGAGCCCCGTGGGTTCGAGACCCCGCCTGGGCAGCAAGA